AAACATTGACGCAGCCTTCTCAACCTCTCCTAGACCTAAGATTGAGGTCCTTTTCTTTTAGGAATGCTCTGCATCTAGCCTTTGACCTTCTGGATAGCCAACTCTATCTAACTGCTCCCTCCTCCAGCAGCATAACGTATATTATAAAAAGGAAAGGGGAGGTGGGGTAGCTGGGTCCTCACGCTATTGGAAAAGTACTTGAAATTCCTTGCATTCCTTTGCATTTAACAGCATGTTTACCTAATCATTGGCTTATTAGGATTAACACAAGTCATTGCTTCAAGCTCATTCGGTGAAAACAAACTGACTCCTATAGACTCCAAGACTTTTTTCTGCTCCCAACTAAGGATGGATCGATCTTTCGGTAGCTCTCCTATGCTTTCAGAACAATATTGGGAAAATATAAAGTTATAAACAAGTGACCTTCTATAACACATTATCCAACCAGACTTAATCTTGCCCATGAATTTAGATATGGGCAGCCTGGGTTATGGACTGTTTCATTCAAGTTCCTCTCTCTTCTTCCAAGGTGACAAGCATAATAACCTAGTAATTAAAATGATAAACGACCCTACTATACCCACCTTACAATGATGGAGTGATGGAGACCCTTAGGCTTTGAATTCTTATGAAAATAAAGCATTATTATTATTTTTTTAATTTTTTTATTTATTTTTGAGAGAGAGAGACAGAGTATGAGCGGGAGAGGGACAGAGAGACAGAGAGGGATACACAGAATCAGAAGCAGGATCCAGGCTCTGAGCTGCCAGCACAGAGCCCAACGCGGGGCTCAAACCCAGGAACCATGAGATCATGACCTGAGCCCAAGTCCGATGCTTATCCAACTGAGCCACCCAGGCACCCCATAAAGCATTACTATTTAAATCACAAATTTAGCTTCAGATTCCTTGTGCTTCCTAGGATGCCTAAGTGTTCAACATGTTTTGAAAACAGATTACTTTACATGCAGAGATTTTTCTCAACTGAAGAGAAAAGCAGTCATTGTCTTACTTTTGTAGGTTAGTTCCCTGCTCTTATCCCAAGCTCCTAGAACAGTTCCTGGCACAAAGTAGACACTCAAGTAGTCCTGGTTGAATAAGTGAAAGAATGCATAATACGCTAAGCTTTTGCCAATGACTTTGGATAGTCTCTGAAAATATCGAATGCCACACACTCAGATATTAGGTAAATATTTCTTTATTAAATGATTAATTCCATAAATAATTTCTTTTCACTGAATATAAAATTAAAATCATTTACAAATTATTCCAGTATTACATTTCCCTTCCCTCCCCAAAAGCTACATTTCGATAAATAAAAACATTCAGTCTTAAAACACCTGATTTCTGTTTGCAGTTTAGAGTGCAGATAGCTGCCTCTCACGGTCACTCACAGAGTGTCCCCTTCAGGAAGGGATGGCACCCCCTCCCATTTACTTCTTTCAAAAGATGAAGGCTTTAACTGATCAACTAATCTTTTTTTTTTTTTTTTTAACAATTGTAGAACCAAAAGGAAAAAAAGCCTAGAGAAAAATATGCTTACCAAATAATTTACAAACAGAAAACAGAACGTCATCAACAGCACAAGCTCCAAAATGAAGCAGTAACGTGGGCTCCAATATTATGAAGCGAAGTATTCTCCCATCGTGGCTGCGTTAGTGTCCGTCCATCTGCACCAGCACACCTGGCAGTTTCAAAATACCTTAATACTACTCAAGAATGAGCAATGCATCCCTTCTACAATGAGTCCCTCACCCCCACCGCCCCCACCCATATCTCTGTGATTCTGGCACTCTTCTCCCCCCTCGTTTGTTCACCCTCGCGCTGGAAACCCAGGTGGCATTTAGTCCCTAAATTTGTGAATGTCATTGAACAGCCTGTAGAAGGGAAACGCCGCCTCGTTGGCATGCGGGCAGTTGTAGTTGCACTTGCAGGACTGGATCATCATGACGTTCTTGGAAAACGTCTCCCCATCTTCGCAACGGAAGCGCATCTTCACAGTCCTGGTCTGCTGGGGCGTGCAGCAGCGGCCGTCCACGCACGAGCCGCAATACTTGGGCCGGTATTTCTTCACACTCGAACATCCAGCATAAGTAAACTTGACTGGTTCGGGGGATTTCTTGGTCTTGCTGCATTTCTTGCCCTTCTGTAAGAAAGAGGAAAGAAGGAGAGTCAGGAACAGTGTTTCTCTGTCTCGGAAGAGAGGTTCACATCTCGCCCAGCTGCCAGGCAACAGTCTCCAACAAGCACCAGCGGAACTTACTTTCAGGCTGCTGTACATCTGCTGTCCACAAGGCCGCACTTCACAAATCCGGGTTTCCTTCACCAGGCGGCATTCAAGGTTGTCATTGGTAACTCGTGTGGAGATACCAGTTCCACAGGTCTTGGAGCACTGGGACCATGAAGTTGTTTGAACGATACATTTCTGGCCATGTAAAGAAGGGTTGTATAGGATTCGAGGTTCCATTCCAAACGCTAGAGACAAACAAGAGGGAAAATTTCTCAGAGGCGTAATGACACCAACAGACTCAAGGAGTCGTTTCTACAAAGCTTCAAACTAGGAACGTATTTCAGTACAAGGTCTTTCAGGCTCAGTCTCAACTTACCTGGGAGCCGCTTCAGGGAGCCGCCTTTTCCAACCGCAATTAATTCATTGTTCCTGGTTAACTCCACCTCGGAGGCATCAAATGCCAGCCCCTTGCCCAGGAGGCCATCCCGGTCGTCCGCGGGGTCCTTGGCACCATCCTCGTCACAGACCCACTCCTCACAGCACTGCCCGGTAACTTTGACTAGCCGGGGGTTGGGACAGCCCAAGTTGGGGAGAGAGAGTTCTTGGGGACACAGAGGAATGCAGCCCACAGCGCCGTCGATACATGTGCACTGATGTTTACAGTTGGGCTGGAAACTTTCCCCATTCTGGTAGATTCTGGAGTTATATTCACAGGGTCTGCCCTCTGATTGAGCTGCAAAGAGCACCGAAAGAGAAAGGGAAAAGAGGATAAAGTTAAGATTCCCAACCACGGCCTGAAACTCATACATATTTTCTGCTGTTAAATTCAATTTATGGTAAAGTTCCCTACAATTCCTCGGGGACTCCAGACCAGAACAATAAGTTAGTCAGGAATCACTTTTCCGTATGCGCTTTTCGTTGGGCCCAGACACACTGAATTGCATTCCAGACTGCTGAAATCATGTGCCTTTCTGCCAAGCTACCAACAACAAAGCATCACCATACATGGTCTCAAAATTACTAAACTTCTGGACTACGGGGACTATTATTTTTTTTAAAGGGGCCAAACCACAAGCATCTTACCTCTGCAGATCCCCTTCGGAGCCGTGGAACTGGCGCCGAAATTGCATTCCAGCCCCTTGGTGTGGTCGCAGGGTTGCATTTTGCTGCAGTCCTCGTTGAGCTGCTTGGCGCAGACCTTACAGCAGCCGCAGCCGTCCCGGACCAGCCCGACTCCCGGGGCGCACTTGGGCGCCTCCTGGGGGCAGTGGCAGGCGGCAGGGCAGGTGGAGAGCGCCTGGAGGGGGGTGGGGGGACAAGGCACGCGTGAGACTCGGCGCGGTTAGCAGACGAGCCCAGAGAAGGGAGGGTTCCTCCCACCCTGTCCGCAGGGGGTCTCTGATCCCGTCCAACCCGGCCACCCTTGGCGGCTGCGGCTGCCAGCAGGGCCCCCGACGCGTCTCCAGGAGGGGGTTGAAGAAAGAGCTAACCCGAAACGCCCCCGAACTTTTTAGTTTAGTTTTCTCTGCGGGGAGCAATCTGGGGAAAGGGGAAGGGCCTGGAAGAGCGGATGGGGGAGCGGAGGCAAAAGAACTCACCAGCCTGGCCAAGTGGAGAAGGGTGACGGCGAAGGCGAGCGTCCTGGCGGTGCGGGAGCTCATTGTGGCGCGCAGGAGTCCGGACGAGCGCGGAAGCAAAGACGCCGATACACGGGAGCGCAGCAGTCGAGGTCTGGTGCGTAGATCCGGGAGACGGGACAGGCTCCGGTCCGTGCGGCGGGGTGGCGGGCCCGGTGGCAGGAGGGCGAGGGCTGGGGCGGCGAGCGGGCTGCAAGCGTCCTTCTCTTGAGGTCCTTACCGAGGAGGCGCGAAGGGCGCGGGTGCTGCTCGGGGGCGCTCTCGCTCGCGGTCTGCCCAAGCGTCCAGAGCCCGCCTTTTATACGGGCCGGCCGCGGCGCCGCGTGTTGCAGTGACGTCGGCTCTGTCTGCGCGTTCCAGAATTCTCAAACATCTCAGGAATGCTGGTTGGCGCGGGCTGCTGCCAAGCGCCTCCCCTGGCCCCGTTGCACCTTTTTTTTTTTTTTTTTTTTTTTTTTTTGCCCTGGACCCGTCTAGAAAACAATCTACCGTTTTTTCCACTTTAAATAATGACTTCGATTGGGAGGGCTCTTTCTGGCGTGATGGTGGTGATGGTGGTGGAAGGGGCAAGGGGGGGCGAGTTCAAAACTTTGCCTGGACTGGGAGGGTGGGAGGACCTGGGAGGGAGGAACAAAAGTGGTTTTGTTTGGTGATGCCGAGTTGACCGGGCAGCCTTGGAAGCCCTCACCCGGGAAGGCAGCGAGCTGTTTGCTTGTTTACAAAGAAGGTGAGAGTCAAGTTATCTATGGAGAGGCGAACGGGGAGGGGGAGTGTGTCTGTGAGCCAGGAGTCTATTTGTGGATTTCATAGAGGCATGCTCGAATCAAGTCCCAGCTTTGGTATGGTGTTTATTAGCCAAGTTAAGTGTATTGCAAATTAATACCCGCAGTGGCATTTATGAATGGGGGGGGGGGGGAATCAGCTTCCCCCACCGTCTGGCAGATTCCCAGGCAGAGGTCTTCCCCCTTCCGCCCCCCCCTCCCTTTTTTGGTATGTCGTACTTGTTTGTTTTTGGAGGTTCCCACTTTAGTTCCAGCCCACTGCCTGGGTTGGAAGTCCGAGAGGAAACAAACGCAGGGAGTTCTCCGGGAGGCTGACTTCTACTTCCTCACGGATGCGGGAGACAGGGTAAGCCCTTCCAGCCTCCCTCCCTCCCCGGTCGGGAGGCGTTGCTAACTAAGCAGCCAGCCAAAAGCAGAGGGGACCACCTTGCAGTAATTTGTCCTGAGAGCATCACCTGTATATACTGCAATGCCAAGCCAGATTCCAGCACCATTGGGCCCAGTGGGTCTAAAGCTAAAAGTTTCGTGGGGTTTTTAACACTTTTCCTTGGGACCACTCAGAAGCCTCCCATTTCAAATGGATTGCAATGTTTTTCTAGCCAAGTACCGAGGAATACGAGATTTTCGGATATACTGTTCTGTAATAAAACTGTTAGCAGAATTTAAGATCCTGTTTTACCTGCAACACATGCCGTAGAAGACCCCCCACCCACACTGTTTGCTTTAACACTATCAGTATCATTAGTGTTACTGATAAATTCTCCCTCAAAGTTTCAAAAACTACATTCTTGTGCAATTTTAATAAAAACACAAAGTAATTATGCCAGTCTTTTATATGTGCTCTAGAACTTTTCGTCCTTTCTAATGTGTTAGGGCTGTTCTTCACAATTTAGCAGTCTTGCTTAAGAAGTCCCTCAGTGCCAACTTTTCTGTGAATTACTCTGATAAGTACAATGAGAAGCTATTGCAATGAAAACATTATCCAATAAAGAGAACTGCGCAGGAAAGAGTTAAGTTTCATTCATTCAAAAGTGCCCTTTCATAAGTCTAAGAGGCTTTGGCTTGTGGGAGTAGGATCTCTAAGGCTTTGTTGGAGGGTTTGGGGTGCGTGGCTTACTTTTCAGGACTTGTCAGGTGTTGTGCAAATAAATAGGAAAATCTGGGCCCTACTTGGTACTCAAGACAGTCCATCCATTATTACTTAGAAAACGTTTTTTTCCTGCGTTAAAGCTTCATTATCGTTTCCCTCTTAATGAAGTGACTGGGGATGGGGGTGAGTAGGCGCAGTACAGGGTGGGAGGAGGTCGTGGGGAGAGAATGGAGAGGAGTGTTCCTGGCTTCTGTTGTGGAGTCTTTTCTATTTGACTTCATGGTTGTAAGTATTTCCAGATGGTGAATCAGACACCAGACGTAACAATATTTCCATATTTGGGTATAGCAGTAGCCTGCGTTTTTAACATTTTTCTGCCTCTGTTATCCAACCACAAAGCATTCTTGACAGCTTCAAATGTTGTTAAATATAGACTTAACTTCTGTTCCCAGAGCAGGAAATTCTTTGGAATTCCTTGTTTTTCACGCAATCTGTCTATCATGATTTAAAATAAAATTACAATGGATGATCCAACTGGCCAGTGTATATACCTTGCTTGCTCCTTTATTGAGGGGGACGGGAGATATGCAAAGAGATTCAGTCTGCCGCACAGCTTTGAAACACAGGCCATTCCAGAGATTCCTTTAAAAATCAGATTAAAGTTTTCTAACAAGGGTGTGTGGGTTTGTGTCTGGGCTTCAGTTGGGGAATCTTGGAGGATGAGTTTGCCCTGGAGGAGAAACTTAGAGAACCTTACCATCAGCCGCCCATTTAAAGCTGCGAGTATGTTGGGGTGGGGGGGGTGGGGGTGGGGAGCTGGAGCAAACCGGGCCAGGAGGTGGGGGAGAGGGAGAGACTGGAGCAACCTATGTGCACAGCCTTTCCATATACTGCGTCCTGGTGCGCCTGCTAGTAAACGACGGCATCGGACCAGAGGAACAGCAGCTCCTCATGTCTGGCTTCAGGACGGTCCAGAAACCCCAGACGTCCCGTCGCCTTCTCGCCTTCTTCGCTCAGGGCTGCAGATCAGTTCACGTTGACATATTAGAGGAAAATGTGCAAATGTTTATGGGTAAGTGTCTTCGGATGCTAATTCTGCATGTTTCTTTTGCTCTTTTTCCTCACTCCCTCCCTGCATGCGCGCCCCATGATGGAATAACGGGCCGCCTTGTTTCCTTGTGCTGCAAGGCACAGAGAAGGAGCTGCTTGTTGTCTTCAGCAGCTCCCAGGTTTGAGCTGAGTGATGGGGACATCTCTCACTCGCTGCTGCCAGGGAATTTTAGGTCACCAAAAGAAGGGCTCACTGTCTGGCGGCAACTGAGAATAAGAATCACCCTAAAACTGACGACTCCGGTTTCCTAGCCCTAGACCAGTGGTTCTCAAACTTTGGCGTGTCTCAGAATCACCTGGTGGACTGATTAAAAGACTGATTGCTGGGCCCTACCCCAGAATTTCTTATTAGCTACATTTCTAACAAGTACGCAGGTGATGCTGCGGCTGGTGGTCCTGAGAACCACAGCCTTGGACGGTTAGGAGTCCATGTGCGTGCGTGTGCCCTCGTAGTCAGGTGCTCTCGCCCGCACACCCAGGCTCACAACTTACACCTGTTACAGCCACTTGAATGAACAGGACAATTTGTGGTGACGACGAAAGGCCGGCTTTAAGGTGGCGCCGCCGGGCCATCCCTTCCACCCCGCCGCGATCCCCCACCCCCACCCTGGGGAGTGATGGCAGGGAGCGCCACAGGTGATCCGGCTGACCGCGGGAACTGGACGACTGGCGCGCGGGGAGGGCCTCGGCTGCCCCGGGGGACCGCTGCGGAGACCGGGTGCGGGGTCCACGCGGCTGGGGGACCCGGGCTGGGGCGGTCCGCGCACCAGGCCGCTCGCTGCCCGCCGCCCCCTGCCGGCTGCCCGGCCCGCGCGCCCTGAGTCGCCGCGGTGGGCAGGACTCGAGGTTTCCGGCGCGCGGCGCCGCAGGACGTTTCCAGCCCCGGCCCATATTTGGTGAAAGTCTTTCAGGACTCCGTCATCCAGCTCCGGGGGGCGGCGGCGGCACTAGGAGCGGGTCCGGCGACGGCGCGGCCGCCGCGCTGCTGCTGAGTGCCTGGGCCTCCGGCCGCGGGGCCTCAGACGCGGCGGGCGCAGGATCGAGCGCGCGCGGGAGACCGCCGCGGCTCAGGCCCAGCCCCAGCCCGCACCCCGGCGAGGGCCGAGGCCCAGCCCGCGCTGCGTGGGAGGCTGGCGCAAAGGGCGCCGCGGCCGGATTATGTCACTTTTCCCGTCCACCCCACTGTTGACTCTTCCTCCCAGCGGGGCAGCGAGTTGCTGCGTTGTGCCAGACTTAGAGGGTACGCCCAGGCGCGGGGGTGTGGGCGTGTGTGTCAGAGGGTGGCGTTTGCTCAGGCTTCGAGCCCACCCGAGAGCAGAGACGTGGAATCGACTCTGGAGAGAAGTCCCAAAGGCCTGGGTCCTATTATCTCTAGAAAGGAGAGTAGCTAGAGCTCGCCTCTCGGTTTTTTGGGGTCTTCTACAGCCCATTCCTCTCTTCCTCGTCAGTAAATTCCTAGGCGGGGGCCGCCGGGGGGGGTGGGGGTGGGGTGGGGGCGGATCCCTGGAGGGGAAGTCCTGGCTCTGCTGTCCACTAGCCTGCAGCCTTCGGTAAGCTGTCCATCCTTTCTAGACCTTGTACCCTTCATCGGTATAAATTGGGAAAGGAAACCAGTAGGTGGTAGAACGGGAGCAACCCCTTTCAGAGCTAAATCTCTTGCCATTCTCTCCTAGTAATGACAGAAGCAAACAGTACCACTCTAAGTCAGGCACCGTTCTGAATGACTCCTGTATGTTGACTCATTTAACTCACCAGTGCCCCATTGAAGCAGATCTTCTTGTTAACACCATTTTCTCTCTAAAGAAATGGAGGCACAGAAGGTAAGTGACTCACCAAGACACTCACCTGGGAGGTAGCAGAATTGGACCCAGGCGTCTTGGTTCCAACAAGCCTTGTACTTGAACATTGTGCATACTGTCTGTTCCCCATCACTTCCTTCAGGCATTCAGGCCTGTCCCCTTTCCTAGAACTTTACCTTTATTTAACTCTATCACAACTTACCCAGATATTCCAGGATAAATGCATCGGATAGAAAAATAGTTGATGAATTAACTGAAGCTTTGGTAACCTCTGAGGAGGAGAGGGGAAGGGGGGTTGCATTTTAATGGGAAAAGCCTTAATGCACATACGTTCATGTAGTACGCTTTTAAGCACCTTGGCAGGCTGGTGGGAAACACATCTAGGACCTTTGGGGTTCTGATATCTCACAAGCCACATTGATCAAGGAGTCTCAACATCTGGAACAAGGCTTTAGCTAGTAGAAATTGCATTTGTCACAGAGATAAAGTTTTCAAGGTCACTTACTTGATTGTTCATCAGTCTGAGTGTTCCTTATGGGCTGAATATGCTATGAACCTGTTTTTTGCATTATACATCATGAGTATATTTATCTATATATCTGAGGACAAATTGTTTATTCCCATTGAACCCTGGATTTATTCAGAGCTCATGATGTGTCATGGCACTGTGGTAGGAATTAGTGACAGCAAAAAGAACACTTTAACATTGATTCTGGAGGATTCTGCAGTCTGTTGCTGAAGTAGGTACAAAGTAGTGTGTGGACACGTCTCTGCATGGGGAGTGAGGGTGGAAATACTTGGAGTCTGAAAGGATGAGCAAGAATCTGTATAAGTGCTGCCGAAGCGAGCACAAGATGAGCAAGAATCTGAAGGACATTTGAGACAGAGGGAACAGGGTCTTGACCATGCATGACGATGGTACACCTAGTGTGTCTGGACTACAGGATTCCTTTGGGGAACTGGCAGCAGGTCTGCTGGGACCTTCTACAAATGGCCTTACCTGTTATAACACTGGGACTCTGGCCGTCAGGAGCCATGTGAGGCTTTGCCTTGGTTTCAGCATCTATAAAATAATGGGGTTGCCCTGGCTCAGGGTATGTGCACTAAAGGGCTCACAGGGATCAGCCAGGTAAAAAATGATGTTTCAGGGATTTGTGGTAGCTGATACTTGGCCTCAGCATCGAGGAACCATGGTGATAGTGGGGACCAACCTTGGGGGTGCTGAGAAGTTGATAGGTGAAAATGTAGGTCCAGTGTTTGCCCATTTTCTCATTTTTTAAAGGATACCAGGGATCTGGATTTTTCTGTAAAGTCCTTTAATTTTTTACATGTTGGAAATTAATTAAAACAGTTAATCTAAGTTAAAACTCCATCTAAGTTAATCCTAGGCAAATCAAGGAAGGCAATGTCTGGGCCCTGCCAGTTGTGATCTCTAAGATGAATGACCCTAGAGCCTGTCCTGCTCCAGCATTCTGTTACCCCCAGCCATTCAAAAAAACATCAGATAATAGCACCCTGGGCTCCATTAATTGTTAGATTGACTGGACTTTCATTTACTTAAAAAATAAGGGTGCCACTTAACTCAGTTGTAGGAGTTTACACTTTATCAACAAAATTGGAATGTGTCTTTTTCTTATTTTCTACTTTACTCCCAAACACTACTGGGTCTCCCTTTCTTCTCCCCCTGAATTTATGTTGTAAGCCGCTGGCATTGCCTTGGCAGCATAATAGGAAACACTTTTTTTTTTTTTTAGGGCATCTGTATCCAATGGGAACTATATCTGTTTATTTCTTCCACCTGGCGTCTGTCCACAGGAAGCCAGGCATTTCTAACCCCCTTACCTTACAGAACTTATTTTGTTCTGTAACAAACATTTTGTTGGAACGGACTAGAAGGCACCTCTCCCACTCCACCCTGCAACCCATCTTCTAAACATGATTGAGCAATATGATATGTATTATAAATCACTATCAAATGGCTCCAGATTTAGGTGATTAAGAATTAACCTTCTCCTCTTGTGTTTTATTTCCAGAGATAACCTGTCTCCTAATTACCCACTTAAAACCGCACATACCACATTCAGAATTTAGAAGAGGTTTGATTTGGGCACAGTACTTGAGCACACAGATAGATCCTACAGAGAATTGAAGCAATTTATTCTTGCCAACTTTTTGCAGGTCCAAAGATTAAATGAAAAGGAGCATTCTGGCTGTGGGGCTGATTATGTGAAATAAGACGTAAGACATGTTTAATGCTCAGCAGGATGCTTGGCACATAGTAAGTGCCTAATAAATTCCAATTACTGCTACTGCTAAGCCCCATCATTACCTTCACTTTTACTACAATTAGCATAGAATGAGCTAGTTTTATTCTCTAGAGAATATTCTGCATTCTTTGAACTAGATGAATTCAAGCTGTAAAAACATTTGATAAGTGGTATATAGATGAAGTGATTTAAAAAAAACCCATGCAGCCCAGTTTTCTGGCTTGCACTGGAGCCCCAGTGACCATTTAAGAAAGCGCCCAGGCTTTGCCTATCATGGAATTGCAAATTTGCCTACAGGCAATAGTGAGCTGAGGGGCTTTTTGCCTTGGTTTCCTCTCCTATAAAAAATAATGGGATTGCCCCAGCTCAGGAATCGTGCACTCAAGTGGTCCAGGGACCAGCCAGATACAAAACACCATGCCTGAGAAGTAATGCCAGCTGACACTTGGCCTCAGCATACAGGAGCCATGGGGATAGTTATACCTATGGGGTCTGGGTTTTACCTGCCAAAGACTAGGGAGTTGATACATATAGCTGAGTTAGTGATTTTATCTAATGTTTATAACCTTGTTGGCTATAGTATTCCATCTTAGGTCCGTTTAAATGATGAGAAAACTGAGGCTTAGCTACAGTCAGTAACTGGTGCAAGGGCACGGAGCTATCGAGGGAGAGCAGAGTGTCTGTTTCTAAAGGCTTTTCTTTTGAGGGAGAACATGGGGTTTGCCTTCTGTGAAACCCACCTAAAAGTGTAGAAACTTGCCCTCAACTTCTTGACTTCCCATTAACAACTGACTGTGGTTGTTACTTAAATGTATTTCTTTTCTTTTTTTTTTTTTAATGTTTATTTATTTCTGAGACAGAGCATGAGTGGGGGAGGGGCAGAGAGAGGGAGACACAGAATCCGAAGCAGGCTCCAGGCTCTGAGCTGTCAGCACAGAGCCCGACGTGGGGCTCAAACTCACAAACTGTGAGATCATGACCTGAGCCGAAGTCAGTCGCTCAACCGACTGAGCCACCCAGGCACCCCTTTAAATGTATTTCTAAGTGTGTCTTGGGTTTATTTGGTTTTCAGTAATTGTGGGCCCCAGTTTCTTCATGAGAGTCTGGTGATGAATGAGTTAAACAATAAAAGAGGGTTCCCTCCACACAGAGCCCCTTGCCTAAGCTTGCTTCTATTTCCTCTGAAGAAAAAGAGATGTGTCAGAACAAAGGAGGAACTCAGAGATTGAGAGATATTTCTACTGTAACTTAGTCATCACCATCAGTTTTGTTACTGGAGGCAGACAGACCTGCTCCCGCTCACAACCATTGGTCACCCTCCAACAGTTACTAAGCACAGAGCCCTCCAGGCACCCACGAACACCCTGTATCTCTGAGACTTGCACAAAGTGTCTCTCAGCCTTGGATGTGAGGGTGGGGTGGGGTGCCCAACATTATGACAATAAGTAAAAAGCAAAGAGCAGTTTGAGGCTAGTCCTAGGCATTTAACAAAAAATCTTGAACCCCCTTTCCTTTGAGTAGGCTTTAGCTCTCAAAAAACAAAAACAAGACAAAACAACAAGAAACCCCACTGTTTTTCAACAATCTTTTTTGTAGTTTCTTTTTTTTTTTTTTCATTCTTTTAAATTTGAGATACAATTGATGTATGACTTTATATTAGTTTCAGGTATACAACATAAAGATTCAATATTTGTATATATTGGGAAATGATCACAACATATATGTATAGGTAACACCCACCAACACATATAGTTACAGTTTTCTTTCTTGTGAGGTGAGCTTGTAAGATCTCTCTTAGCAACTTTGAAATATACAACACAGTAGTGTTAACTATAGTTACCATGCTGTACATGACATCTCCAGGATTTATTTATTTTATAACTGGGAGTTTGTACCTTTGATCACCTAAACAGTCAGTTCTTTTTTTTTTTTTTAATTTTTTTTTCAACGTTTATTTATTTTTGGGACAGAGAGAGACAGAGCATGAACGGGGGAGGAGCAGAGAGAGAGGGAGACACAGAATCGGAAACAGGCTCCAGGCTCTGAGCCATCAGCCCAGAGCCTGATGCGGGGCTCGAACTCACGGACTGCGAGATCGTGACCTGGCTGAAGTCGGACGCTTAACCGACTGCGCCACCCAGGCGCCCCCTAAACAGTCAATTCTTAATGGACAAAGATAATATGTGTTCAGTGCGTGAATTTCTGAGACTCTGGGAAAGGCCGCTGGGGAATTAGAAGGTGTAGACTATATACCGAAAGACTGCAGATCCAGAAGATTGATAGTTCAGGTCAATCCTATAAATACGGTATGCATGCCAGACTTTGTGCTAGGTGGCGATACAAAGAAGAAGAATATCTAGACTTTGTCATCATGGCTCTCACAGCCTGGGAGAGATGTGGATGTTTATGCAAATAATACAATACATTGATTGGGGCCTCTGGATGGCTCAGTGGGTTAAATGTCCGACTTCAGCTCAGGTCATGATCTCACAGTCTGTGAGTTCGAGCCCTGCATCAGTCTGTGTGCTGACAGCTCAGAGCCTGGAGCCTGCTTCAGATTCTGTCCCCTGTCTCTCTGTACCCCTCCCTTGCTCATGCGCGCGCGCTCTCTCTCTCTCTCTCTCTCTCTCTCTCTCAAAAATAATAAACATTAAAAAAAGTAATACAATACAGTGATTGGTGCTCTAGGTACAGTGCACCCAAACTCCTTTGGGGATACAAACAAGGGATGTCTAATTTAGAATCCCACCCTTT